GTTATTATTATTTTTCTTCCCGGACTTTTGAAACCGCAAGACTTATCGAAAAACTTTATAGTTCATGATACTGGATATTAAAAGTTATTCCGAAAAACGACCCCCCATGTTTGAACTTTGACCTCTTACGAAGTTATTGCCCCTTTCGCAAGAATAGCTTGTTATCGCTACTCCTTCGAAACCGTAAACCGTAGAGGTACGAAACCTTCACCAATGTCTTTGACTAATTGAGGGGATTCTTCAATCTATTCATTGCGAAAGAATTCGTTGACCACTTCAATGAGTTATTGCCCCTGAAAGTTTTTGATATTCATGAAAAATTAAAAATTTTCAAAACCATAAGTCGTAGAGACCTGAAACCAACTGCATTGAATTCTTTGACATATGACCTTGAAATTTATGTCAAGGTCAAAGGTCAAGGTCATTCAAACTATGAGATATTTATAACTCTCTTGTCTTTCACCATATACTATATGCCTTTGCATCTTTAATATGTCCTTCTAAAACTATTTCAAAGATTTCATTCTTGTCCCCTAAGCTTAACCCCTTTGAAAGTTATTGCCCCTTGTGCGAAAAACCTTGTTATCGCTACTCCTCTGAAACCGTAGACCGTAGAGACATCAAACCTTCACTAATGTCTTCATGGTCTTTAGACACAACTTCAATCTATTCAGTGCGAAAGGATCTGATGACCCTTTATATGAGTTATCGCCCTTTAACGGTTTTGCGCTTAATAGTAGGCCTTATAACTTTAAAATTTTAAGTCCTAGAAGCATGAAACTAATTGCAATGTGATTCTTGACCTTTGACCTTTAATGTGTGGTAAAGGTCAAAGGTCAAGGTCATTTCATAATTTTCAAATTTTTCATTTTTTTCTATTTTCAAGCCATTTCTGGATTCTTTTTGTATAAAAATTAACTTTAGAGAGTAAAATATAAAAATTAAAGAAATTTAAAGAAGGTGGAAAGACCTCTAATTGTTCGAGAACAATTAGTCTACTAGTTCTTCTTCTTCTTTTTATTATTATTTTTCTTCCGCTGATTTTTTGTTTCGACATTTATCGAAAAGATTTTTTGTTCATCGTAAAGGTCATAAAAAGTTATGAACAAATTTGACCCAACGCGTATAACCTATGACCCCTTTCGCAGTTATTGCCCCTTTCACTAGAAACCTTTTATCGCTACTCCTCCGAAACCGTAAACCATAAAGTTACGAAACCTTCACCAATGTCTTCGACTAATTGAGAAGACTCTTCAATCTATTCATTACGAAAGGATTCATTGAGCCCTTTTATGAGTTATTGCCCCTGAAAGTTTTTGAAGTTTACAAATAATGAAAAATTTTCAAAACGATAAGTCGTAGAGACATGAAACCAACTGCATTAGATTCTTTAACCCTAGACCTTGAAGTTTATGTCAAGGTCAAAGGTCAAGGTCATTTCAAATATGAGAAATAAAGCTCTTTTTATAGCTCTTTTGTCTTCCAACATATACAGTATATCTTAACATCTTTAATATGTACTTTTAAAACTATTTCAAAGATTTCAATCTTGTCCCCTAAGCTTAACCCTTTTAAAAGTTATTGCCCCTTGTGCGAAAAAACCTTGTTATCGCTACTCCTCTGAAACCGTAAACCGCAGAGACACGAAACCTTCACTAATGTATTCAGGGTCTTTAGACACAACTTCAATCTATTCAGTACGAAAGTATCCGGTGACCCCTTATATGAGTTATTGCCCTTTAACGTCTTTGCGCTTACTAGTAAGCCTTATAACTTTAAAACTAAAAGTCGTAGAAGCATGGGGTTAATTGCAATGTGACCCTTGACCTTTGACCTTGAATATTTGTTCAATGTCAAAGGTCAAGGTCATTTCAAATTTTTTTTAAAATTTTCATTTTTTCCATCTCTTAAGCAATTTCTGGTTTCTTTTGTAAAAAAAATAAACAGTAGAGAGTTAAATGGGAAGAATATATGAAATTTAAGTAGGTGGAAAGACCTCTAATTGTTCGAGAACAATTAGTCTACTAGTTATTACTATAGACTGTTCCACAGGAGGGCTTCTACCATATTTGAAAATTTTGACTTTGGACTTTTTTTTCAAAAAAAAAAATTAAGGTATGTCACTCGTCAGCTTTTTAGAAAAGTTCAGTCAGAACCCTTAACTTCAAAACTATTTTTAACAATTCAATTTTTATAATATATTTAAATTAAACAATGCAAATTAATCAACATTCAATAAAAAAACTGCTCAGAAATTCATAAAGAAGCAAGATTTATGAGAGACTATTTCTTGTGGTGGAAGGATATTTAGAAGAAAATTCTTCAAATCTCTACATTTGTTAAATCTAATGTCTTGGAACTATAGCACCAAATATTTTTACTTAGAGAAAATTTTCCGTTATGATATGCTAGGAATATTAAATATAGGTCTCAATTTATATTTTTAAAATAAATTTTACACATTCACTCAACAGACTTTGCCAAGAAATAAAGATATATTAAAGAAGTCAAGATAAAATTTTCACCGTTTTTTGCCTGAAAATCGCAAATTTTAACCAATATCTCAAAATTTACATCACTAACCCCAACTTTTTCTTTCATAATTTTAAACAACAAGATACTTCCAACCGATCAGCACTTGAGTCATAAAAAGTTTGATACAAGAAAATATTTCATTGCCTATTTAGATATTTTATACCCCAAATATAATACTTTTTTAGTGCAAAAAGGTCACACAATAATTTATGTGCATTAATTTGCATGATTTGTTCAATGATAAATATCATTCAAACTATTTTACTTAAAATAAGATTATATTTATTGCCAAAATTACATCTGATAAAATATGATAAAGATTAAAGTGATTGACCAAAGAGTTACAATTTAAGTGCAAAAAGGTCAACTCGGTAGGATGCACACATCTTTGTGATTTTGAGTCATGCTATATGAGTACTTATTTAAAATATACTTCTCAAAAAATCCTTGATATAACTAATTTCACGAGTGACATACCTTAAGTTTCATCATTTTTTCAAGTTGGACTGGATAAATACAATCTGAAACAATTCAGTATGACAGTTTTTGACAATTTCAGGGCTCAACATAAACATTTGTCTGCTTGTCAGGTACTAGTTAAAATTTTTCATGGACAAGTGATTATTTCTGGGCACTTGTCCCAATTGGACAAGTGATTTTTTTGTGAAAAAAATTTTTTTTTTTTAAAGCTGAAAATGGAAAAAATAATCTGTTGTCAACTTTTTATTGGAAGCTAGTTCAAAATCAAAAGCATGCAGTGCACAAATAGTTAACTTTGTTCCTGATTGTAATATTGATGATCCCTGTCGCTAACTTGAGATCTTAGTTTTTATGGATCGAAGCAGTACCCTTTTCAAATTATTTATTTAGAGAGGAAAATGTAATGAATTGTCCTCTGTAAAGCCATTTTCACAGTAGCAATCCTGAAAATATTAGCAGGAATCAACATGGGATCGTATCAAATTATGGTTTGGTGCATATTGACTTTTCTTCAGGTAGATTTGAATTAGAATTTAATTACAAAATTTAAATTCATATTAAACAAATAATTTTTGCTTTTTAATGTTTTAAAGGGGCCTTGACACAGTTGCATTGTTTTCAATTTTAAATGTCTATTTTTTATTAAAAAAATATATGATTTGAAATTACATGAATATTCCAAGAATGCAATGACAACGACATTCTTCATAACATCACATCAAACACCTGTGTATGTAAACAGGGCACAAGCTCTGTTATTGTTAGCATTTACATTTTACTGGGATGTGTTCAATTGTTTAGTCTGCACACATCACTGAGCACGGACTGACAATACTGGTGAGTTGGTTTTGCTTTCTCGCAATTCTACTCTGATTTTTCTGGATTAAAGTTTTCATATTTTTTATTAATTCACAACAAAATTTCTACTTTTCTAAGGTTTTATGACTAAAGCTTACTTTGTGAAAGTGCAGGGATATGTGTCAATCCAAACGTGTCCCGAAATTCGTAGTTTTAATAATTTCCAGGTAAAAAAGTTTCTAAACACGCCTTCAATATATTTTGTTGTGAAATTCTCTAGCAGCATTTAAGTTATAATATCATTTAAAAATTTTTAGAAAATGTGAGCTTCAAATCTGTGTTCCAGCCCCTTTAATTAAAATAGGGGGAAGTAAAAGTAGTTAACCATAGGTGTATCAAACCACCCTTCATTTTAAAAACTTTTTCCTATAATTTGCTTAGAGGGACAGGTGAAGACTCCATAAAAGTTAGGCCTAGGTTAGACCTTGACTAACCTAGATTTATAGTTCTCATTCATTATGTTTGAAAGATACTGAATCTCCATGCAACCTCCACCCCAATATCGTAAAAAAAAAAAGGGGGCATCTATCTCCAATTTTTTAAACCTCCATGTAATACGAAACACACATTTTTTTTTGGCCTGAGGTTTAAAATTTAGTTTGACATCATAACATTTGGTTACAATAGAAATATTGCATGTGTTAATTAAATGTGTGTTTTAGATTGAGAATAACAAAAAAAACATTTATTCCAAATTTATTCCACATACTGTGGGTTCAGTTCCTTTACAAAAACAAAGGACAAAAATGATATTAAAAAAAAATGAAGAGAAAATTAGAGTCTTTCAATGCCTGGCAATCAGAGTGTCTGGTGCTTTAAGTACACTAATAATGATATGGACTATGTGTTACTGCCCAAAGGACAAGTAAACTCAAAGTATTATAATGTCTAACCCTGTATCCTGATTATACAATTATAGTAAAGAATAGAATATCAAATGCCTCAAAGACAAACACCCTCTTGTTCTTGTGCTACAAATTTCCCCCCATTTATTGGTGAACTAAGTAAATCAATACTACATTATGCAGACATATCAGACCAAATAACAAACAGAAACTAATTAATTAAGAAGGGTTTCATTATGCACTTCTGACTGACAAATTTGGAGCATGTTTTTGAGATGATGGAAAATCTGCTAACACTGTGAAAGAAAAATGTTTTGTAAAATTTGTATGAATTATTGGAAGTGAATATTACATGTCCCTAGCTTGAAGACTGTAGTATCTGAGAGATCTGGCATACAGATTTAGAATTCACCGATGTTGAAATACAGCACTGTTTTAATCCTAGAATATCATTTTCAAAACTTGTGGTTTGATGCTTTCCAGTGGGATGATAAAAAGGATCTTTTCATATCATAATATGACTGAGGATAAATAAAAAAAATGTAATGACTGGGTAAGTTTTCAAATATTAGACTTCAAATTTTATTCACATTCAAATTTAGATGAAGTTATTTTGCTCTGAAGTTGTAATTTCAAGTAAATCTATTATCTTGTTTAAAATAAGATGAATCTAACTGAAAAAAATCAAACGACTGAAAGTACGAAGGTTAATAGAAAAGTTCGTCAACACAATGATTTACAGAAAATTTATTGTGTACATTGAAGAATGACATACGTATGATTAAATTCATATCTTTTATTTATTAGTATGTAAAAAATCAGGTCCATTTACTAAAATTTTGAAAATATACAATGATTTTCACTGTGCTGTCATAGGATATACAGAGTAATCACTTGACACTTTTTGACGTTAGATGACGTGACAATCTGATTCCTAACCTGTTAAGCTTTTTCACAGTTTTAAATATCTTTCAGCTGAAGACTTTCAATGTCTTTTTCCAACTTAAAACTTGATTAACTTTACTTGTTAGTTATTTAACATTTACTTTTGTTACTTTATTTCTAAAATATATCTTTTGTGGCAACTATCAGATATTAGGGAGATCTGATAAATCAATGTCTACCTAGTTAAGCAATCAGGTATGGAAACAATGCAAAATCAAAAGGCGCAATGCATGTCCATGTGATAAGTGGGGTACTGGGGTATCGCAGGAGTTGATCATAAAAAATGTCAATCTTTCTCTTCTTACAAAGCTACTACCATTTGGACACTTGTCCTAGATATGTGTACGTAATCCTTAGCAGCATCTAAAAACATTTCAGCCTCTTTCGGGCATTTTCCTGTCTGCAGACGTAATTAGCTCAATTCTCCAAGATATCAATGATGTGGCCTTTCGTGACTGTTTTTAAGCATTGGTTATCTATATTTAGCAATAAAACCGTCATAAACCCTCCGATTTAATTCAAAATTTTGCAAAAAGACATTTCAGAAATTTTGTAGTGACAAGTGAAATGTCATATATCTTCATGCTCTATAACAGTGCAGTTTTTAATTTCGATAAAAAGTTTATGTAATGTAAACTTGTGAAAAAGTGACATGCTATGTGAGGCTTGTTTTATCTTAGTTTTTGAAGATCATCGGAAAACACCATATGAAAAACACTATAAATTGTATTTATATGAAAATACATATTATATTTTTTTTTCAGCAGAGTTTTATTAGTTTCATGCAAATCAAGCTCGCTCACAAGAGAACTTGTTGTGAACTTTTCTATCAACCCTCCTACTGGAAAGCCCTAGCTAGCTAAGCAATGTTTGCAATTTTAAATTCATCAGAATTAGTTTGAATTTAAATTTCCTGTTGTATTGAAATATAAGGCGTAATAAAAAAATATGTTTACTTACGGTTACCCGCAACCCTATATTTAATCACCGACTCAAATTTTTTTTTCGTCGTAAAATCCCGAAGTCACTCGCCGGTCAGTTTAAATTACATGCATCTTAATCAGTCAAGCATTTGAAAACAAAATTGAAATTACTAGAAACAAAAAGCACCACACAATGGTAAAACTGTTTTGTATTTCAACAATTCATGTGAATTTGTGTATAAAAATATTCAATAAAACTAGATGAGATCTCGTTGCGAGCAACGAGTAGGTCTTCCGTCCGATTTTTCGATAAGATGAGTTATGATTTTGACTATGATCTTTGTTAAAAGATAATAATATATAGACTTCCCTAATTAGATTTCATTCTTTTGATTTATATAACATTATCAAAGAGCTATAGATGATACGCTTTTGGCCCCTCTGAGCCCCTAGTTTGAGGGGTCAGCCCCTTTCTCTTGATATCAATTGAAAGGTCTTGTGATTTTGAAAACGTTTTGTTCAAGAAATATTCAGATTTTTCCTTTCGTTGTGGAGATATGCTGAATGGAAATATTTAGGGGCCACCCCTCCAAGTCCTTAATGGGGCCGTTTGACAAAATCTGAAAGGGTGCATATTGTTTAGAATATTATTCTGACCATCTTTTGTTCAGCATTGCATATCGAAATATTCTCCCTTTTCGAGATATAAAGCGTCAAAGATTTAGCATTCTGGCCCCTTGTGACCCCTTATTACGTAACGTATGATCAGAATCTTATCATATATTGTTGTAAATCGTTAAGATAAACATCTTTGCTTCAGTAATGTGTTACAGATTATTGATCGTTAAAGAGTTATAGATGAAAAAGTATTGGCCCCTCTGAGCCCTTAATTTGAAGGGTCAGCCCCTTTTTCTTGGCATCAAATGAAAAGTCTTGTGCTTTTAAACATTTTTTGTTCAACAACTATTCAGAGATTTCTTTTCGTTGTGGAGATATGCTGAATGGAAATATTTAGGGGCCACCACTCCAAGTCCTTAATGGGGCCGTTTGACAAAAATTGAAAGGGTGCATATTGTTTAGAGCATTATTCTGACCATCTTTTGTTCAGTATTGCTTATCAAAATATTCGCCCTTTTCGAGATATAAAGCGTCAAAGATTTAGCATTCTGGCCCCTTGTGACCCCTTATTACGTAACGTATGATCAGAATCTTATCATATATTGTTGTAAATTGTTAAGATAAACATTTTTGCTTCAGTAATGTATAACAAAATATTGATCGTTAAAGAGTTATAGATGAAAGACTTTTGGCCCCTCTGAGCCCCTAACTTGAGGGGTCAGCCCCTTTTTCTTGATATCATATGAAAGCACATATCATTTTGCACAACTTTTGTTTATGTTTTAACAAAATATTTACAGGTATAAAGATATGATAGAAAACTTGTCAAAATTTGCGAGATGCTTGTGAGCCTATTTTTCGAGCCCAGGCGAGCTTTGGCGCCTTTTGCACTGGAAAGATATGGACGCAAAAAAGCACATCTACAATCCCTCCTCTACCGTCACTGAGAATCTCAACTCAATATCTTTATTCGTTTTGGAGTGATTACCAGGACAAGCCGACCCTCTGAAAATCAGATAATTGTCTATATCTCACGACCGGAAGTGACGTCATCAATATAAAAAATTTCCAATAAGGTTCAGATCAATATCTATCAGATCAAAGTTTCATGAAAATCGACCGAGTTGTTTCCGAGAACTCGCGTGCACAAAATCGGTAAGAAAAAAAAAGAATAATAATAATAATAATAGGGAAAAAGAAACCGAACGAAAACAATAAGGTCTTCCGTTGGAGACGGAAGACCTTAACTAGATACTTATTGCCTAGGCAATAACAGGTCTTCCGTTTTCTTGACTTCTTTGAAAAACAAACAGAATCTTCTCAATAAGATTACTCTAAATAATTAACAAAAGTTATCTCAAGGCTTCCAAAGATATGTAAATACAAGTAAAAACAAACGGAATTACTTTCCTGTTTTCTTTATGTACTTCGTCGTGAACGAAAGTGCTCCAAACGAATAAAATGTTCATTCTACACCTAAATTATTCACAACTGATCATCCTTAAAAGTTTCCATGAAAAACTACTCAAGTTTGAGACAACTTCCGGGTTTTCGGTTGGCACTTCCGGTGAAAATGCATGGTTATGGTCTACCTAACATTCGCATTAGCCAAACATTTCTGTAAAAAGAAGAAAAAACTTTAAAAATTCACTTTTTTCATCGCTTCCTGTCACTACCGGAAGTGACGGCAACGTACGATTTTTACATGATGTAGATAAACTGAGGACTGACTATTAGTTCTGAAAGTTTTAGACTTCAGCAATGTACTGTTTCTGAGCAATTTGGTGAACAAAATCTCAATTTGAGGACAGAAAAACACGCGACCGGAAGTGCATTTTCATAAGATGGTTATCGTCACACTAGGCAATTGCAGCCTCAATAAAATATATGAAAACCATTTCAAAGACTTTATATATAAGCAATATTTTTGGGAAAGTTAAAAATCCCAATTACATAGTTTTCTCTTATAACCGGAAGTTGTCGTTTTTTGTTTCCAGTGAGACCAACACATATAGAAACTGTGAAAGAGATTCAATTATATGATGCAAGTTTTATTTCAAAAGATAAAAGATAAAATTTTTGATTTCTTTGATCACTTCCTGTGACGACCGGAAGTGACGGCTGACGCTCTTAACCCAAAGGGTTTTGCCTACTCATTAAGTTCTATTACTCATATAAGTTTGGTGTCTTAATCTCTTACCGTTTTTGAGATCTCACTTTGACAAGTTCTTATTTTGCGGACAGTAAAACACGCGACCGGAAGTGAATTTTACCAAGATATTTGACGTTACTCTAGACATTAGCAGTCTAAATAACATATCTAAAAATCATTTCAAATACTTCATCTATAAGCGATATTTATGGGAAAGTAAAATGCTCAAATTATGTAGTTTTTCGCTTATAACCGGAAGTTGACGTTTCCGTTTCCGGTGGGACCAACATATTTCGAAACCACAAAACAGATGCAATAATGTCATGCAAGATTTAATCAAAAACAGAAAAGTTAAAATTTTTGATTTCTTTGATCACTTTCTGTGACGACCGGAAGTGACGGCTGACGGATTTAAAGATATTCCACAAACCTACTTGTCATGGTCTATAATCCCTGAAAGTTTGGTGTCTTAATCTTTTACCGTTTCTGAGAAAACGTCCGGACATGAACTCTTTTGAAAAAACGGAAATCGGACATATCTGACGACCGGAAGTGAATTTTGCAAAATCCTTAAAAATGTTTTTAGTTTATTTAATTCTACATAATCCCTGAAAGTTTCAAGAAAATCCATCGAGACATCTCTGAGAAATCGCTTGGACAAAAAATGGGAAAAAAATAATAATAATAATAATAATAAACAGTACAATCACTATAAGGTCTTCCGACTGAAACGGAAGACCTTAATAAATAAAAAATCCTACCTACTGACCCTATTTTATTTCAGCAAGTAACTGTGCAGTAAAACAAACATATTTTTTGTTTGGCCTAAGTTGTGCTTCCATAACGAAGTCTTTAAAAGGCATATATTTAACAAAAAGAGACTAATTTATTATCTCTTAGCAAATTTTATTAAAGCAAATGAGTTATATTTTTTTAAGTTTTCTTTGTTTATCATTCCACTTATATGAGGAAATAGAAAATTCAAGTGCTAATTCTAATTTTCTACATTTCTGATTAAAACGGCTTAGCCAGAATACTTAGTATCGATGAAAATGTAATAAAAGACAACAACATAAAGTTATGTTAGCTTGGGTCACCAAATATCACACAAAATATTTTACCAGCACTTCTCTCTCTCTCGTGTCTTTAAAAAAAGTATACAGTGATAGTTGTTGCGGTGTTTTCAACAGCAAACTGTGCCCTACTAATAGACATTTCATACCTCCATCACAAAAAAAATTTCCTAAGTTAAAGTAATCACAATATCAACTATTTAGTTGTGTTTATGTTTTACCAGCTGTAAAATATTGAATTAGCTGGAAAGTTAACTTCACACATCAAGAACACAAGCAGACAACACTGGTGTACTGGATTTGCTTTCTTATGTTTTTACTCTCAATTTTTCTCAATTATACTTCTTTTTTTATTGATATATCAAAGACTTTACCAACAAATTCAGACTATACATGTAGCAATACATTTGCCAAAAAAAAAATTATACTTTGACAAATTCTGAACACCTAAAAAATGTTGCTGATATTCCTCTCATTAATGTGCATCACTGACTGCTAAAATATTCTAGTGAATTCATTCATGCCATTCTTTGGAGTGTGAAGCAGGGTATAATTTGTATTTTATATTAATTTTTGTGATTTTATTTGTAATTATCGACCGCAGGAGTGGACCATCGATTTGTGGTTCTACAATGTTATAAAGTGCACATGGAGAAATAAGACATTATTTTTAATTGGTTTGATAAAATAATTCCTAATGACAATATATACTTGCTAAAGTTATGAATGAAAGATTTTTAAAATGGCTAAATATTATGTCTGAATTGCTTTAGTATATATTTTTTTTTTCCTCATCTTCATAAGCTACATGTATTTATAAATTTATGATGTAATAAAAGGGTTTTACAAAAAGTACTCCCTTCCATGGCAGTGTTAAGATATCATTTCATTTTTACCTAGTCCTCTTACCATTGTTAAGCAAATATACCTACAATTGAGCAATACATGCACACCTTTACATGAAATAATTTTTTTTAGGTTCCTAACACAAGTATGCATAATATAACATAACAGCACTATTCCTGCCCCTTGCTGAGAACATTTAAGGTTTTGGATGTTTTGGTCACTGATGTCAACAATTGTCTTGGGCACTCCACATGCAAAGCACCATATCTGTCATTAATATTTTCCTGAGAAATTGAATTCTATGTCAGTTTTCCTTTTTGACAGGATTGGTTGAAAACACAACCAATATGACTGTGCACTACGTACTGCCACATACTGCTTCCCTTGTGAATTATTCACATCAAATTTTTTTTTATAGCTATTGACTACAACAAAAGTACATACTGTCCATAAATGCTAAAAATTCCAATCTGCTACTAATTGATAATTAGATGTCAGGGTTAGAAACTCCCTAAAATTACAACTCGCAAATAATTGCGAGTACCAACAAAGTGAACTCGCAATTTTATAAGACTACTCGCAATTTTCATATAAAGTTAAAATTTATATAAATTAAATACATGTAACTTAAGGAAAAAGTAACTACTGTACAATACACAAAATACAACTACAGTGTGACTTTTATTTAAATTACTGATTTAAATCAAAAGTATTGTGCTCTGTCATATTATATAATTTTGCTACAGTTTCAATGCAAAAAAAAAAAAAAAAAAAAAAAAAAAAATCAACTCGCAAGTTTTTGCGAGTTACCTAATTTTTAACTCGCAATTTGGGGCAAGTTTTTGCGAGTTACCTAATTTTTAACTCGCAATTTGGGAATTCTAACTCGCGTTTTGCGAGTTGTATATAGTGAATTTCGAACCCTGGATGTGAAATCAATATCATTGATGATCATGTTGATAGGTCTATGCATGATGCAAGGTTGATAATAGAAAAACTTGTTTGAATTAAGTTATATTGTATGAAATAAGGGTCCTGTAGAGGACATATTTAAGTTAATAAGGATACAAATTGTATAAAGCGTAAGTAAATAAATTTTTATGCAAAATTTTCTACTGCACGTAACCCTGTCTTACACTAAAATAGGTGAAAGAGAGTCTGGGATTTCCAGTTGCATATTTTTAGAAGACTCAGTAAAGTTATTTTCTTTACTTAGAGGCCCTGGATTGGGAATGGAAGTAGTTGTAAGCTGCATTAAGCGCTTTGCACTGCACTTAGCACCTGAAAATTGTTTGCTATATGAATGATGTGTTGATTCCTGAAGAAAACTGTCAATTTTGTTTCAAATTTTGTTACAAGCTGCCTTTTTCCCTAATTGAGTTGAGCATAAATTTAAGTTTTGAAATAAAATCCAAAACAAAGTCTCTGTGTTGTTAAAATATAATGAAAAATTCTTGGGAGGATATTTAAAAGTTGCACATTCCCGACAGTAGTTAAATACAAGTGGTTGCTATGACAGGTTTGTCTGTACTGTAAATTAAACCAGAAGTCACTGGAGAGACTGTAGCCCTACTGTTTTGTATTTTTTAATTATTTTGGAAGTGAGAAGTAGCACCTGGAAATACTTTTTATGTAGAATCATGTATCTTGATCCTATTTTTACTAATTTTTATTTTATGTAAGGGTATAACTACAGTGAATTCTTTTTTTGACATATTATTGAAGATCTACGCAAAATAAACTGCACAGGGAAGAAAAAATAACCCCACCAAAATCTATACACAATTAACAAAAGTATATAACTCCATTTCCTAAGTGTGTATTTATATATACCTGATTGAAAATTCAATCAAGCAGAAATTGAATCAATTGATAACATATTAGGCTCTACAGGTAAAATGTCACATTAATGTAGAGCTTGACATCAGACATAGTATCAGTTAAAAGCAGAAGACAAAACTAACAAGGAATCAAGATTCCAATACAGTCAAGAGCCTACCAAATACAATTGGTTGCACATATCAGTGAAATTACGTAAACAGAATTATGTATCTTAGTGTAGTCTACTTGTGTGCCAAGTTATACTGAAATCAGACCAAAACTATAAGAGGAGTAGTGTTTTGAAAACATTTCACAGAAAATAATTTCTATTTTTAGTAACCATGTCTACACCGTTCATCAAAATCATTAACCTATATAAAATATTATGTATCTCAGTGTAACTACTTATGTACCAAGTGATATTGAAATCAGACCAAAATTGTAAGAGGAGCAGCATTTTGAAATTTTTTCACAGAAACTTTTTATTGTAGTAACCATGGCAACATCTCTCATCCAAATCAAAAACCAGTAAACAGAATTTTGTATCTTAATGTAGTTTACTTGTGTGCTAAGTAATATTGAAATTAAACCAAAACTGTAGGAAGACTAGCGTTTTGAATGCACTTCACAGAAATTTCTATTCTTAGTAACCATGGCAGCACCGTTCATCAAAATCAAAAACCGATAACAAGAATTATGTACTTTAATTTAGTCTATTTGTGTGCCAAGTAATACTGAAATCAGACCAAAACTGTAGGAGTACTGCCTTAAAAGTATTTCACCGAAATTTCGATATTTTTGTTACCATGGCAACACCATTCATCAAAATAAAAAAAACGATATAAAGAATTATGTATCTTGGTGTAGTTTACTAAATGTGTGCTAAGTTATATTGAAATCAGATTAAAACTGTAGGAAGAGTAACATTTTGAAAAATTGTTTACAGACAGACTGACAGAATGGATGGATGGATTTTACATCTTTATACTATCATATATTAGACCTCTTCTGGTCTCTGACCAGTAGAGCTAAAAAAAATCTGAAAAGATCCATGTATGATGCAAGCATAAATCTTGGAGAATCAAAAAGATGAGCAAATCTGAACATTTCTTTAATCAGTAAACTCTATTCAAGAACGGCTACAGACAATGTTTGATGAATTAGACAACAGAATCATTACAACGTCAGAGTTATGATAAAAATATAAGTACATATATATGAAAGTTTTTTGCTGCTAACTTGTTTTGCAAGTTTATTTTTCTAAATTCATTTTCTCTTTTGGGAAAACATGTGAACTTTAAGGTATTGCGTAAAAACATGGGTTCAGTGCTCCCAGAAAATTAACATCTTCTCTAAATCAATATGTCAGAAACAGAACTAAAATGAAAATATTTACTTCTGAGTGACATTGAATTGGATTATTTTACAGTTAAGATTGACATTCAATAAATTTAAGCCTATAAAATATACTGTCTGACATTCATAGACTTCAGTATTTACTTTTCAGATGATGGCTGAGTGCAAAAATCTGAGTGAAGATAATTTCTCCATTCCCATTGAGCATAACAGCATGGAGTCCATTCTGGAAAAGAAAATGCACTTCATATTCATGGAGGTTGGGGTCCCAGCTGTCAGTGCTTTTGGATTAGTGGGAAACATCCTTAACCTGCTTGTGCTGACAAAAGAAAAAGTCAACCATTGTTTGACAAAGATGGAAAAATCAGCTCACATAGGATTAATTGCTTTAGCTGTGTCTGACTTTATGTTCTGTCTGCTGGCCTTATTGTTCACCATTCTGCCACCACAGGAAACATATCGTGAGCGAAATGGAGTCCTATACTATCGTTGGCTTGGAAATGGTTTCATCACTTTTTTCATCATCAACAGTACGTGGTTAATTGTCGTAATGGCAGGAGAAAGATATCTTGCCGTCTGCCATCCTTTTAAAGCCAGGAAACTGATATCACTCAAAAAGACCAAAATTGCTATCTGTCTGGTGTACATGATCTGTATTCTTTCAATAATACCACTGTTTTTCGAGTCAGAAATAGTAGAAACAACATGCATTGATGGTTCTAAGCTGTACAGAATTGAGAGGCGTAAAAATTACAGTGACCAAACACGAAGAATGCTATGGTCCATTATTTTCGATTTCATTCCATGCATTGCTCTCTTATTCTTTAATATTTGTCTGGTCTGGAAAATCCGCAGAGCAAAACGCATACGAAGAGAGATGACACCTGGACAGAGTAATGAATTTGTTATGTACTGCTCTTCAATGAAAAGCACAGAGGAGCAAGGCACTCGTTCATCCTCAAGATCTAACAACAGCTGTAATGGTTGCCCTAAAAAAGATCTGGCACAAAGCTCACTAATAAAAACCAGAAAACCAGGAATAGTTTCCCATCGCAGGCGAAGCTCTGACAGTGCCCTTAACAGTGTGACTGCCACATTATTGGCAGTGGTCGTGCTTTTTTTAATACTTGTTTCCCCATCTGAAATCATTAAGTTCATTTATGCTAAGATTCATGTAGTGGACTCTGTTGGAAAGAACAAACATTATTACTACCACAAGATTATACTGCATGTAACAAATTTTATGCAAGCTCTGAACTTTTCAATTAATTTCATCTTATACTGTGCTGTAAACAAATCTTTCAGAAAAACACTCCGTAACCTTTTTCCTTTCTGTCGACACAGTAGGCCCAAAGCTCGATTCATCAAACGTATGCCACCAACACAGTGTCATAACCTGACTTGAATACAAATTGTATTAATGAGGACTTCATTATTTGATGTTCTACCTGGTATGTCTTTATCATTTAAGTACAAAATGGACAAAAAATGGAGAGGAAATTTCTAATAGAAAAAGAATTTTTTGTTTTTGGAATGCTGTCCCAGGAACTATGCACAGTTCTCTTTAAAATGCTCAAAAGACAAACTTTGCGGATGGACAGGGTTGTGGATATTTACCATCAAGCACAATGCTAATCAGATTCCAATCATTTTTTAATGAACAATTCCATAAGCGTGTTGATCTGCAATGGTTATTAACTGTTTCAAAATATATTGTATAAATTTAATTATATAATCAGTCTATGAGTTGATTTCTTAAAATAAAAAAAAAAAATTGTCTTTATGTTATAAAAAATTTCACCATCCTTTAATGAATGTTGGCAACTGAAATCGTCCCTGATGAGACTTATGTCTACTGGTCTAAAAATTGTCGAAGGATACACACTGCAATACAGTAAAACACTGTATCCAGTGTATCAGTACCAGGGACAGATGATTTTGCTTCATTATAAACATAATTCATTACATGTTTGCTAGAAACATGTTTTTCTGTATACAATTTCCTTTTTTGAATTTTCACTTTGGTACAAAAGAATGGTATCTATAGCCTTCACCACTCCCCAAGATGGGGGAAGTCAATTATAATCACCAGACTCTTTATACTGCCATAATTTCTAAACTAAAAAAGACAGGGTTATTTTTTGAGAATTTATTGACATCTGTGCTTTGATGTTGATTATGAGTATTTGTCTAAATCATTGTCACAATAAATTGTCAACTGTGAATGTAATTAATAATAAATCAAAATGACTAAACAATTATTTTGACATACTGTACATGTACTTATTTTCCATGTGGGATTAATTTACCCTACATATGCCGAAATTTATCCCAGCATACAAACATAGGTAATCAAAGATTACGAAGCTCACCTCGACGAATGTTATCTACATGTAAGGCAAATTTCACATCATATTTTTTTTCTAGTTAGGGTACATCCCAAGATCAATATCCATGCAAGTTTGATTTAATTATAGACCTGCTCAAAAAAACTTTTGAACTGTTTAGTAATCAAGAAAATTTTGGTCAGTTCCAACATCCAAAGCAAGTCTGGAAGTTTTCATCCTTAGATGCACCATCTATGCAAGTTAAATCATAACAGGCCATAATATTATATAGCTACTCCAAAAAAATTACCCTGGTCACTCTTCTGGAAAATGTACATCAGATTCAGAATCCAAGGCAAGTCTGGAAGTGTCCATCCCTAGATACATCATCCATGCTAATTTGGTTAAAATATGGCTAAAATTCACTCATGTGGAAAATCTAGGTCAGATCCAGCATTCGAAGCAGGTTGGTTAGTGTACATCCCTAGATGCATCATCCATGAAAGTTTGGTCCAGGTAGGGCTTATAGTTACTTGGGAATGAGACTACTCCTAAATCTAAACCTGGTCTCACATGTGGAAAATCTAGATCAGATCCAGCATCTGAACAAGTGTGGTAGTGTCCATCCCTGGATGCATCATCCATGCAAGTTTGGTCCGGGTAGGGTTTATAGTAACTTGGGAATGGACCTGCTCCTAAAACTTTAACCTGGTCACTCATCTGGAAAATCTAGGTCAGATCCAGCATCCGAAGCAAGTTTGGTAGTGTCCATCCCTAGATGCATCATCCATGCAAGTTTGGTCAAGGTAGGGCTTATAGTTACTTGGGAATGGACCTGCTCCTAAAACTTTAACCTGGTCACTCATCTGGAAAATATAGGTCAGATCCAGCATCCGAAGCAAGTTTGGTAGTGTCCATCCCTAGATGCATCATCCATGCAAGTTTGGTCAAGGTAGGGCTTATAGATACTTGGGAATGGACCTGCTCCTAAAACTTTCACCTGGTCACTCATCTGGAAAATCTAGGTCAGATCCAGCATCCGGAGCAAGTTTGGTAGTGTCCATCCCTAGATGCATCATCCATGCAAGTTTGGTCCAGGTAGGGCTTATAGTTACTTGGGAATGGACCTGCTCCTAAAACTTTAACCTGGTCACTCATCTGGAAAATCTAGGTCAGATCCAGCATCCGAAGTAAGTGTGGTAGTGTCCATCCCTAGATGCATCATCCATGCAAGTTTGGTCAAAGTAGGGCTTATAGTTACTTGGGAATGGACCTGCTCCTAAAACTTTAACCTGGTCACTCATCTGGAAAATCTAGGTCAGATCCAGCATCCGAAGCAAGTTTAGTAGTGTCCATCCCTAGATGCATCATCCATGCAAGTTTGGTCAAGGTAGGGCTTATAGTTACTTGGGAATGGACCTGCTCCTAAAACTTTAACCTGGTCACTCATCCGGAAAATCTAGGTCAGATCCAGCATCCGAAGTAAGTGTGGCCATGTCCATCCCTAGATGCATCATCCATGCAAGTTTGGTCAAGGTAGGGCTTATAGTTACTTGGGAATGGACCTGCTCCTAAAACTTTAACCTGGTCACTCATCTGGAAAATATAGGTCAGATCCAGCATCCGAAGCAAGTTTGGTAGTGTCCATCCCTAGATGCATCATCCATGCAAGTTTGGTCAAGGTAGGGCTTATAGATACTTGGGAATGGACCTGCTCCTAAAACTTTCACCTGGTCACTCATCTGGAAAATCTAGGTCAGATCCAGCATCCGAAGCAAGTTTGGTAGTGTCCATCCCTAGATGCATCATCCATGCAAGTTTGGTCCAGGTAGGGCTTATAGTTACTTGGGAATGGACCTGCTCCTAAAACTTTAACCTGGTCACTCATCTGGAAAATCTAGGTCAGATCCAGCATCCGAAGTAAGTGTGGTAGTGTCCATCCCTAGATGCATCATCCATGCAAGTTTGGTCAAAGTAGGGCTTATAGTTACTTGGGAATGGACCTGCTCCTAAAACTTTAACCTGGTCACTCATCTGGAAAATCTAGGTCAGATCCAGCATCCGAAGCAAGTTTAGTAGTGTCCATCCCTAGATGCATCATCCATGCAAGTTTGGTCAAGGTAGGGCTTATAGTTACTTGGGAATGGACCTGCTCCTAAAACTTTAACCTGGTCACTCATCCGGAAAATCTAGGTCAGATCCAGCATCTGAAGCAAGTGTGGTAGTGTCCATCCCTAGATGCATCATCAATGCAAGTTTGATCCAGGTAGGGCTTATAGTTACTAAGGAATGGACCTGCTCCTAAAACTTTAACCTGGTCACTCATCTGGAAAATCTAGGTCAGATCCAGCATCCGAAGCAAGTTTGGTAGTGTCCATCCCTAGATGCATCATCCATGCAAGTTTGGTCCAGGTAGGGCTTATAGTTACTTGGGAATGGGACTTGCTCCTAAAACTTTAACCTGGGACGCCGACGCTAACGCCGACGCCGACACCGACGCCGACGCCGACGCCGGGGGTATAGCATAAGCTCATCTCGACTTCGTCGAGGTGAGCTAAAAATGTGTAAAGGACATGTAAATAATGATAATCCAAGAAATCTGCATAATTTTCTACCCAGAATTGAACAGAAATCGCAGAATTATGACTCCATGGAAAAAGTATGTTTACTGAACTTTCTTTGAAAACAAGGGTGAATTAATGCATGCAAACACAATAGAAAGGCACCAGTTTTTTTTAAATAGGGCACCTGACTAGAAAAAGGCAGGCACTAGCAGCTCCATCCTTTTAAAGCTGTATACATGTACCTGAAATACAGATTTAATTTTACAACTAGAAATCTGACCAGTCAGCTAGGGCCCCGTCAATGGGTAGAAATATAAGGGCCAGTGCAGATAAGGGAAAAATTTTACTTGATTTCAAAAATTTAAAATTATATGAAGAAGAATAAGCAACAGCAACTGTATTTATAAAATTTCAAGATAATTCCTAAATATCCAACAATCTGTGAATTGTATCCTTTCATTTACATAAGGTGGCAAAAAAACATCACATCTTATAATAACTCAATTCAATGTATATTTAAAGAAGAATGAAACATGTGCTTTCTAAAATGCCAGCCTTCAGTGAATGAAAATATCACCCAGGCTTGACCTTAACTTCAAAACAAACAGACAAAGGTGTTAATTAATCTTAAAGTGAACTTTTCAGCAATGATAGAATGTGGTTATTATCTGTCTACCTGTTAAAATTAATTTTATTCTTGAATTTACATACGGCAGAAAAAAAAGAAAAAATTAAATAAAATAATAATAAAAAAGATATCTTTATCTAACGGGTATATCTTGTTTTTAGAATTCAATAAAATTATAAATCATTGTGTATTTTACCAAAATAAAGTATGAACATTATTTAAATCCATATTTCAGAGAATGTAAACATCATTCAGAATTGATCTTCACTTCAAAACAAACCTCATTTGCAGACAGAGGTGTTAATTAATCTCAATGTGACAGATAAAGATAAATGCTCTGGATTTTCTTCAAGAGGAAAGTTAATTTATCCCAAGAAACTCATTGCAGCTTTCATAGTTTACAATAGGAACATTCTCAGCAGTTATCTCTCTTTGCCCACTCATTTTTATATAAAATTAAGGAATCTACCCCCAACACCCTAGCTCAAAACCAGATGACATAGAAAACCAAGCTTAGCATTAAAATATGTCTATTCAACCAACATACCAAAGTTGAACTTAATTGATCAACCCTAAACAGAAAATTTGTGGATGGAAGAATGACAGTCGGACAGACAGACAGAGTGATTACTATAGGGCACCCGCAAATCCTTGCGGGGCCCTAATTACTGATTTTCTACAACACAGTAGGGCTGTCCTGAGTACCAGAAATAACCGAGAACCGCGGTCCAAGTTGTTTGGTTCGGTTTCAGTTCCATTTTCCTGATTTCGGTTCGGGTCTGATTTATATATTAGAGTCTGTTCAATATAAAAAATGGCGGTGAAATCAAAGGAATGATGACGATAACAGTGATAAATAAACATCACAACTGAAATCTACTTCATTCCATGACAAAACACTTGTCAAGGAAGTATTAGATAATTATCAAAACGAGCAGGAATGGTCAGGTTGTGGCTAATAGTAGGCCAAGTAGTTCTACACACCGATGTCTAGACGTTCGCATGGTTAAGACTTGTTTCAATGTAAATTTAATGTAACAAATAAAGATTTTTCAAGTTATATTCATGAAATTAAGGTTTAAAATAGATGTAAATAACCGAACCGAAAAAACCCGAAACCGAACCGAAAATTTACAGAACCGACCTGAAAAATTTTGAATCATGACAGCCCTAAAATACAAATCATTAATATTTACCTATATACATGTA